CAGGTTCTGTGTTGAAATCGTGGGTGATGACAGGCTTTACAGACTGACAATTTTATTGCCCGTTTAATTACAGTGGGGAGTGCTAATCACAGATGCAGAGAGAAAGTGCTGGCTGGAAGCAGAGGCGGGATTCATATTGTTTACTTTAACTGATTACTTTAAGTTTGTGATTACTGTTGGTTCTTTCTGTTGATCAATGTTAATCAAATTAACGTAAAGGCAATGTATAGTTGTTACGTCCCAGTGTGTGTTCTGTGTGTGTTTTTTCTGTTATGTCCACACTGCTGACCCTTGATTGTTCTCCCTTCCCCATTGGCCAACCATCACACCACTGTTTCAGTATGATGTCATCATCAATCAGCCCTCAGCCAATCAGAACACATATTATTCACTATATAACATGGAGGCTTTCAGAAAGAAAAGGCCTTTCGTTTGACTTTGGTCCCGTTCGGTTTTGGTTTTCGCTTCGCTTCTTGTTATTGCTTCGGCTTCGTTAGTTGGTTTGTATTGCTTTGTGTTCGTGTATTTTCGTATAGCTTCGGCTTTGTTGTTTTGTTGGTTTATGTTAGTTTCTTTGTACTTTTGTTTGTTGGTGTGCTCATCCTTGTTTTGTCATTACCTTGCCCAAGTGTTACATGTTCAACTTTTGTGTTCTTTTGTACCCTGCTCCTGTTCATTACTTTTGTTTTCCCTTATTTGTCTTCCTGGTTCCCTTGGTTTTGTGTGACCTTTTGTATATAAGGTTAGTTTAGGTTGTTGGGTACACTTACACACTTAGTTAACTTTGTATTAGTACACTAGTTTAGTACGGGTGAGTGCCATTTGTCTTGTATGGTTTTGGGTAGTCAGTGCAGGTTAGCTAGGGTGTTGAAGACGCCGAAGACCGCGTGTTTCGGGTTTTCTTTTGTAGTCAGATTAGCTTTCCCTCCCTGTCCTAGCCAGCTCCATTTTTGTTTGTTATTTTCTTTTCTTTGGCACCACTCTAGTTTCTTACCCTTGTTATCACGCTTCCTAGTCCCTCACCAGAATCCCCCTGCTTCCAAAAGAATTATCCTAAATGTTACACCCCTTTTCCCCTAGACACTTGGGGTCGTAACAATAGTACTTTAATTATCACATAGGGGAGGGTTACCTATGTCTTTTAATGCATATTATATACTGTCGTACTGTAACAGTATAGGCAACAGTATAGGCATTGACTTTGTTCTATGTGAATTTGGCTTTTTGCTCAGCTTCTCTCCAGAGTTGTGGATACCTTACTGTCCTAGATATATTGTGTTTCAGCTGTATAAGAGGACTGTATTGTTTAAAAGGCCTGTATTGATTAGGGTCTTGTATAAGAGCTTTTCTCATATTGGCTAGAATCAAGATTAAATAAGCACCAGTTGTCTTGTTGTCCTGCCATGTTTCAAACAGTGCTGTACTCAAGTAGTTCTGCTGCGACATTTGATACACAATAATGGTGAAAATAATTTGCAGTGGTGGGTTCAGAACTATAACTTAAATGAAAGTCTGTTTGGACATTATTAGTTGTTACCTGAGGGCCTTGAGAAATCTGACCAGCATCCCTCTTGAATTTTCAAACAGTTCAATGGTGGTCTTGTGGTATATTCTATCAGCAATAAAAAATGATGGGGGGTTCAATTTATCTTTATTGGTACTGTTAATGAATAGGCTGTCACAATAAGAAACAACTGGGTGCCTAATTCTAAAAGTCATGTGATAATGAATTAGCAATGAATGTGATTCCCATCAAAAGAATGTTAACCCTTCAAACTATCAGGGAGGTAATGGACCATTCCAAAACCCCCATAGGCTCTATTCATCAGTTCATTCCCATCTGGCTTCAGATGAAAGCTGAGTGTAAAGAACATGCTTTAACTTGAACTGTCACCCACAGTAGAGTCAAATGAGCCTGTGTGACTGGTTAATAAGTATAAAAATGGTTTGTGACAGAAGTACTTGTTGGAAAACATCTATGATATTTTCATTTGAACCTTCGCTCAAAAGTAGATTTTGTTTCTTAAAGTCATTTGGAAGCTCAATTCTTAGATATGAAGGAGGCTGTGATGTGCTGAGATATACTTGCACGTAATATATGATAAAATGTTCATGTTGCATACTGGCAACATGCCCAATGCTATCCTGCGGGACTGTTACTTCTGACTCATGGCAATGAAACTGAAATTAAACTTGAAACAAAAATAATTCCTTGTTTAGTTTCCCAAACACATAAATCTAAGGTATGCAAATTGCTTGTTTTGTTAATGTAGGACTGTCATAAAGTATATTTTGGTTGACTATATATTTATAAGACTTATGTTTATGAATGCTTGAAGAGCTGCACAGTGCTAAAGTGATTCCAATAGGTTTGTGGTATACAGCAGTTTTAGGGAATAAGTGAACAAAAGCAGCTAACTTTATAAGGACCTTTTAAATCTATTAAATGTTGTTTTTTTTTCTTGTCTCAATTTTTTTGGAGGTCTATCTAAAGAAACCCTATACTATATTTAATATTTTTAATCAATACCATTGTCACATTTGTCACCAAATAATGCTCTTTATTTGTATACTGCACTTGTAGAACAGTGGGTGTAACACAAAAATAACTTTGAGATGTTTTGATTTAGTAAGCAATGCAAACTAATTCTGTTTCTAAATTGTGATAATAAAGATGAATGATTTCTCACAACAATTATGTTTGAAACCAGAAAAGTTTCTTTCGTATATTACTGAAACTGAAGATTTAAAGATATTTACCATAATTACTAAGTATAATTCATGGATAACAATTTCCAAAAAAGTAATACTGAGTGAATTTTGTTAACTATTAAGAGTATTGTTGTATTCTGTACAAAGTACTCAGTTTTCCTTTATTAGGGATTTCATGAAGAAAGAAAAACACATAATTCACTTGCTGATTTGTGTGTGGTATCATAAGTATTCACTAAGTAATGAGTGTTTAGATCCTTATTTAATGTTGTGAACGAAGAGTTGTGTCTAGATAACACCTGGTTTTAGCTGTTCTTACCCCCACACACAGAGCACACTATCCCCCTATCATTATAGACTGGCTTTGAACAAGTGTATTCATTCTTTCAAACAGTGATGACATGCCAAAACAGCAACGGTTTCCTGAATTAGGAGCACATTTTTGTCTCGTTTACAGAGTATAATTAAGTACAACTTGCATTTTAGGTTCCTTTTGAACTATGTAACATATATGTCAGGTAATGTGTTGTTCTCTGGTCTATACCAAAGCTGCTCCCATCAGGATCCCTATGGATGTGGGACCCTGTGGCAGGACCTTCATAATGATGTGCCAGAAGGCTTGCAGGCCATGCTGCTGATGCTTCATTGCTTCCTAGAAATCCCCTAGAACAGACTTACAGGAAGAATGGACAACAGCACAGCAGTGTCTTGTAGAAACTGCCGAGGGGGTTGGTTACCCATGCTCTAGTGAGTCACTAGCCAGTTGCACACCTGCATCTTTGGTCAGCTCATCCGCTTGGTGCTTCTGACCGAGCAAGGCTTTTATCCAGGGGGCCTCCGAGCCATACAGAATGGAAACACCACCCTTAGGTGGTAAATCTCATTTCAGAGGGAGCCTTCTATGGAAAATGCTACTAAGTCAAAAGCCCTGGCCCATACTGTCTGAAAGACCTGCTGTTTTCCTTCCCTCTTATAGTGCTTCCCCATACTTGAATGTGATCAGGGAGGATAAAGCCACAGTCTACCTAATAGCCTGTTACTGACAATGGCAAACTGGCTTTGCCTAGCCAATGCAAGTGCTATCTGGTCAACCCTGGAGACTACCAAATTGCCAGATCATGCTCAGTCAGGTACAGGATACCCTTTGTTATTCCAATCTCACTAGCTAAATAAAGACTTTGTTCAGATGGCAGATAAACACTGGATTGAATTTGCTTCCAGAGCCTCCATTTGAATTATTTCTCTACTTTTATCTGACCTTTATGACCTGGAAGAAAATCCTGCTTGCCGTTACCTTGGTAAGAAGAGTAAGAGAATTGCAGGTCCTGTAAGAATCACCTGAACACATCTTGTTTGTTAACTCTGCAAGCACACGTAAAACTATTTCAGTATCCCATAGAGATTTAGCTTTCTTTTCAGTTCTATTTACATTTGGTCTGAATCAATCTAGGCCCTCCAAGTGCTGAAGTTAAGGATGACAGATTTGCCTGTCTCTCCTCATCTTCAGTAAGGTGAGTTCTCCTGTCTAATCTCTGTCCCTGAGACAGCTTGGATATGAATATATAAATACCTATGATGCAATGGGTTATGTTACTACTGTATGTTGCGTTCATGAAGGGGAACACCACGTTGTTATCACAGCCCTGGTTCCCTGAGATTGCAGCTTAACCATTCATCTCTGAGGCCACATTATCCTTTGTAGTGTCCTTGAGTTATTCCAGGGTGGTTTCCTCGCGCAGGTACCTGACATACAGTATGATCCCCCATTCATATACAGTAGCTCTGGATTGGAGCAGCTTTGGTATAGAGCCCTTTGGGATGAATTAGTTAATCAGCGGCTTACCCCTGTGGATCTTACCTTAGTGAACCCACTTTATGGTAACAGCTAGATGATTTTCAAGCATACTTTACTAATTTGATGTAATCATTCTTATAAAGCTGAAATTGTTTTTCTCTCATTAACAACATTGTAGAAAACCTCACAAGATAGCAAAATGACCTGTGCACTCTTGCATTAAACATTGTCTCATTTAAGTCTATACTCTAGACTAAAAGAAGCACTTTAAATGCTTTTAAGATTGTTTACTTTTCCTGGCCTTAAAACATTAATTAAATATTAAAATGAATTGTACGCTTTGCTTTTCTGTGAGATACAGTATGTGTGTGCATTATTGACAGTCAACATCAAATGCTATCCAAGAAGCAATATGTAAAAATTGGACTTTTTAACTTTTTTGTAAAACAATTTATGTAAGCTATATATACATGTGTGTGTTTGCACATTACAGGGGATGCCACAGTGACAATAGCACACAGGTTTACACCCAAAGATCAACTGAAAGTCCACACCAGCTTCGCAGATATCATCATTGCCGCAGCTGGTAAGCATCTAGCTTTAAATATTTGTGTGGGGCCTTATTTAGTAATTAAGCTATTTCCTGTACATAAACATTGCAAACTGAGAATAAGTGTTCTGTATCATAGTATGCTTATTTCATCCCTTTTGCAACTTTGTGGATGTTCAGTTTAATCAAACTTTTCCCCAAAATGGAAGTTGTTGATACTACTGAGGAGGACTGAGAGAAAATATTTCTTGAAGGTACTCCGAAGAATTTGTGCAGTACATTTAATAACCTAAAACATGCGTACTATATTTTGATTAAACCACTTTTGTTTTTTTTATGGTAATATGTGATCAGAAATATTTCTTAGAATTTTAAAATGTGGTCAGAAAGAATGCATGATTATGGAGCTAAATCTACATTCCGTTATCCCATATATTTGTTTTTGAGTAGTATATAAAGATATTCTGTAATTGAATATGTATAACAATGAAAAACAAAAAATCTTTGTAAGTTGGGAAATAGAAGTTTACGTGAAAAGGCATTTTTTTTAGTTATTGACGGATTCATAAGTTTACATTTATTTAATGTGATTTTGAGACAGCCATAAAGTATTAGGACACACCAGGATGTGCTCAAAAAATTATTGGAGGGAAAATTAAGTTGAAATGAGTTTAAGTGTTTTCAGGAATAATGTTGGAGTATTTGGCTTAATTATCCATCCCTGGCAGTGCAGAAAAAAAAGCTTTGCAATGTCTTGACAGTTTTAACGGAAATGAAGGATTAAACAAATACCTTAGAAGCAGCTTCTTGTGAAAACATTCTATAATTTAAAGTCAAAGAAAATCAAGTCATCCACCGTGTTTTAGTTTTTGCTGCCATTCTTTGATATCTAATATTTATCATAATAATAATAATAATAATAATAATAATAATAATAATAATTTGACAGCATTAAAGTTACAATTCTGAAAAGCAATCATAAAATACCCTTTTTCATCACACATGAATTATTGGAATGCATGTGTCTTTTGTCAGGACATGTTCCCTATGCAAATTCTTCTCTATACATATTATCTCATTATTGAACATCATAAGACCGTGACTTCTACCCTCCAAAATACTTCCACAGAACTTTCTTCGTTTAAGAATATACTCTACCCCATTTTCCTCATACTGTACCTGTATACATTGTGTTTTCAAGTTTTTGAATGACTTAAAAATATGCATAAGAGTTTATCCTTAGACATCTCTAACAGAGATCCAGAGTGAGGGTGATAGTTCTGCATTTTAACCCACGTTTTCTTTAATTGGATGTTTAAGATGGGTGGGGATGCTAAAGATTTAAAAGAATCAGATAAGATCACTTGCTGAGCATCAGGGATATAAATTATTCTTTAATTAAGGTGGGTATATTTGTGTATTATAAAATATACCCAAAGGAGGAGGACATTTGTTTAGAATATATAGTACAGTATAATGCATTTTAAAATTAACCTTAGCAAACTAATATTTAGTAAGATTTAGTAATATTTAGTCAGTGAAATAAGCTAATGACATATCTTCTTTAATGAATAAATACATTGACTTTGGAGAAAATAAAGAGTATCAGTTTGAAAGGGGGTATTTTTAGTTATTCCCCTGAAAATAAATCTTAAGAAAATAAACTGATGCTATGTTAATCCCTCAGAAATGTTTATTCATCTGTGAAATGCTCATTGTGTCACTGCTCAATTCACTACTAAAAATGCAATACCTCTAAATTTTGATGAACCTACAGTACTGTACATCAAAGATCATAACTGTATTTGATGTCCTAAATCCCCTTGATATTTAATGAAGGACATTATTTAAAAACTGACTTGTGTCTGACAGTAAAACACTATAAGTACTAGGCACTTGTAGTGTTTTACTATCAGACACAAGTCAGTTATTAAACAATGTCCTTCATTTAACATCAAGTGATTTAGGAATTCCATTGTATGTATTTTGATAAGTCATGATGTCAGGATAGTGTTTAAACATTTTGTCGTTGTCAACTATTTGCGTAGTTGTAATTGAAACCACTTTTTATAGTTCACTATGAATTTTAATTTGGCTTTCCTTTTTCGATAAATCCAGCAGATTTGTTTCCATAATATTTTTTTCCATCAAATATGAAATGGCTGTATTCACAGCTTCTTTGTATAGCATTGTTCTAGCATTGTTTGTATATAACTTTAACTGGAATTAAGTTGCATACCTAGAGGTGCATTTGATGCTAGCAGTCTTTTGTTCACAGTCAGAACAATATTCCAGACTTTTCAGTGCTAAATGCAATAATAACCATCAATCATCATGGCATTTCAGTGGCTTGCATTAGCAGAATGCCAAAATAAATTTGAAATTGTGGGGAATGATCTTTGTACGACAGCACTGCAACATTACAATGAAATTGGAAAGGAAGTTCAAAACCCAGACATTTTTGCATGACCAGATTAAAATGAACATTTTAGTTTAATAATGCTTTATCCTTAACTATTTATTGAAAGGCGCTATATAAGAATAAAAACTGATTAATTGGTAATACAGTAATAGGAGGTTTTTAGCATTAGCCCGTTGGTGGTTTGTTGGAGGATGACTTTATCGTCAACTGATTGATGTTGAGGTTTCAGATTGAAAATCAGGTTAGCCAATCACTCAGATGCACCAATGATTTTCACAAGACTCATTTCTAAAAGTTTATTTAACACCTTGTTTGGGAAGTTTTAATAGTTAGCTTCAAATGCAAGATGGATATATCTTGTCATACACATTTATATATTTGATTAATATATATTTCTGTCAAATGCTTTAAGGATGCAGGACACTAAAATGCTGCAATTTCTGTGCTAAACATTCTTGGGTGATTACTTGATGATATAACATTTACTAAAATGTATTTCAAACCAGGATAAATATTAAAAGATTATGGCATAGGTTATCATGATTGCCATAATTTGTTTTTCTATTAAGAAGGAATATGAAAGTAACTATTGGTTTACTTTTACTCAGGAGTTCCTAATTTGATTACAGCCGATATGGTAAAGGAAGGAGCTGCTGTCATTGATGTTGGTATCAATCGGATCCAGGACTCTAAAACTGGGAAAGCTAGATTGGTTGGAGATGTTGACTTTGAAGGTAAATTAAATTACAATTTATTCAGTTGCAAGATGGGGGTCAGAGTAGAGAGTTGAGCCTGGGGATTTAAAATTAACATTTTTTAGTGTAGCTAGTTATCTGTCCGAAATTGTTTCAATGATAGCAGTAATGGGTGAGTATTGATTGGAATTTCCAATTATACTTGTGAGTTACTTGAAAAGGAATTGATCCACAAGCATTAAGAAACAAAATCGAAGCAAAAATAAAAAAATATATATGTTCTTGTTATTTTTTGGAAGGTTGTGTATATACAGTATAATTTTGTTTTGGGAGATGGTAAATGGTGTTACTGTATTGTTTTTCAAGATGTTTCTGCATTGAGTACCCATCTGATTTTATTTTGTAACACATGACACCTTTCATCCCGATCCGGGTTAATAACTGGCGGTTAAGCATGTGCAATTGAGACTGCATTCCACAGACAGTTAGTAACCAGGAGTATGGCTATTAAAGCGCCTGTACATCAGTTATTAAGCTAAGATCTTCTTAAATGCCACCTTAACCAAAGCTTCCTCCAGTTATGTTTTTTCAGCTGTTGAGGTTGTGGATTAAAAGAACATAATTAAATTGTCAACAAATACTACACACTGTTGTAGTAGCTGAACAGGTTGGAGTACAACTGCAGCTGTGTTTGTTAGACGTTTTATTATTATCTCCAATCTTTTTCACCAATAGAGCCACCCGAGTGTTTCAAAAGAAAAATATATGCTGTATATGGTACTGTACATGTACATATAAGGGTGGTATTGAATTGTATGAGTCCACATCTGAATACAAGCACTAGGAAGAAAGGCATCAGAGCCACAGGATAATGGAGCTGTCAGGTAGAATTTGTTAGGTCTCTAATGCAAAGTAATGAAGTAATTAAACCGATAGCGAGCTGTTTGTTCATTGTGATTTGGGTGTTACTCAGGTTATTGTTATTTTTTCCTTCTGAATTAAAAGCCTGAGCACCTCAAACAGTAGAGGGTTCTTCTGGATCACAGGCCAAGAACAGGATCCACATTTTTATACAAAGGATTCTGGGACTATAAAACTAACAACCCAGCCATGTTGTTGAAACCGATACTCAAAAAGTGTCTGGATGAGATCCCTGGAACAATTAATTGTTAATGACCAAACAGGCTTGATGGGCAGAATTGCTTTTTTCTCATTTAAAACCTTTATTTTGCTGTATAGTATACAGTATAGTGCTGTCTGGTGTCTGACCAATCATTTCAAGGGTCCTGTCGGCCTAAGTCAGTTCAGGTCCTAACTGCAGTTTGATTAAATTATTACAGTATGATTACTTATCACATTTCTTTCAGAGGTGAAGAAGAAAGCTGGATTCATTACACCCGTACCTGGAGGTGTGGGGCCCATGACAGTGGCCATGCTGATGAAGAATACTGTGACTGCTGCAAAAAATATACTGACACACTGAAGCACTGTTGCCATTTCAATGTTTTAATTTGATACTACTGAAAAAATATTTTATTACTATTAATTTATTTATTCTTATTTAAGGTATTTTAAATTTTTTATTTTTTTCTACAGTAAATTTATGTTGTTGTTCTGTTAATTTATTATGATGGAATGTGAACACGTCTGACTTCTTTGAAAAAAGAAATTGAAGTTGTTTTAGAACGTTATGATCTCATAAACAGCAGGGTTTTATCAAAAATGTTAATGCTTTAAAATATCCTAATTAAAAAAAAAGTTTTTCAAACCCAGGGTTTCTGAATGCAAATTAATTCATGAATGCAAAAGAAATGTATTATAGACAACCATTGTAAGACACGTTTATTCTTATTCAGTGTGTATGCCAGTTTTACAAGTCATCTCAAGACTGAACTGCCTCGGAAAGAACATGATTCTGCAGAACATGTACAAATACCTTGGAATGTACACTATCTCACAATTACAGGTTAATCCCACTATAAGGAGAAATTAATTTTTGCTTGTTATTTTCCCTTCATCATGCAGATGTGAATTGCCAAATTGTAGGGTAAGGGTGTGAAGAGCTTCAAGAAAACATTTAGAGATGATTTGAGGAACAAAATAATCCAGTATGTGTTACTTACGGGTGGCAGATCAGGTGTTTATGTTATGTATTTAAAGACCACCGAAATGCAAAAAGAAAATGTTGTATATTTTATGATAATACAGGAGAGACAATGCTAGACGTCCTTTCAAAGAGTTTTTATTTTCATGTTACTTTTTCTTTGGATGCTGTTACTGCAAAATTGTCTATTTACTTGGTAAGATGCCACCTGTCTTGTAGTCCGAATCGCGTCACATTTACCAAAAACCAGCTCTGAAGTTTTGAATCTTAAGTGTTGCAAGACTAAAGTGCTGCTTCCCATGGCTAGATGTACTGACTCAGAGACGCCAGCTTTTTTTATCACTAAAATCACTCAGATGAAAAGAAATATAATGAAAGACATGCCAATTATCTTAAAGTATGCTGCGCGGCCAGATTTTTGTCTGTGGTAAAGGTACAGTATATCATTTTTTTTTTCAGATAGTCTGAAAACCCCAATGTAAGTTACACACTTGGAAAAAATGATATGCAAGTTTGGGTCATTAATGTTATTTATCACCAGTATGTTGTTGCCAATACATGAAGTGTTTTGGAAATTGTGGAAGCTACTCCTGTTTCCGAAGTATACCACAGATAATGCAAACCTCCTAAACATTTGAGGAGCTTACACATTCACAATCTGCTGCTCCTTTTCTGTAGTATCCTAATATCCTTTAGTATTTCAATACACCTTATATATGTTGTTTTTAGAATGTGAATTTTTTGTTGCACAAAATATGTTCCTGTGAAGGTAAAGTAATTCATAAAGTTTAGAACAATTCTTTTTTTTATAATAAAGCATTTGATCATTGCTAGGGAAATAGATATTTATTATGTTGCTGAGCAAAATATTGAGTTGTTTCTGTAGCTGCAAAATAATATTTATATTTATGAGTAATTCTAGTACGATTTCCACTGATTTAAGAATGAAAGATTCCAGTTACAATTCTCCAGTAAAATATACAACAATGAAGCATTTTTTCCATGACAATTTTTTTCTCAGATAAGAAATACAGTACATATTAGATTGTTTCATGACAATTTATCAATGATATATAACCTAAAAACATTATAATTCCAGTGTAGCAATATCTTTTTGTACCTTGGTGGCCAAAATTGCATGCAATTTTATCAATGTTGTCTAACTAGGGCATTGAATACAGTAATTCTAATTACTTTTGTTTAATATTAATATTAATTAATATTGTTTCAATTATCCCATGACTGAAATACTGCATTTTTAAACCATATATCCTAACATTCTGTTTGAATATTTTATTTTTTCAATTTGTATTGCTCACATTGTCTAAAAGGAAAATCTTTTTCATGACTAGTCTCTTCAAGTTCTATGTTTCTCATGTTTTATTTCTAGTCAGTGTTTCTGCTTTTGCCACAATCTTTAATCATTGACAATAAATATAATCTGTCTGGGGTTTGCCAAGTCTTGAATCATATCCAGCTCATTTTGAATTTTCTTGTGCACATTCTACAGTGTTTGGTAATCCTCCAATTTTGAACCATCTGCATGTTTGAAAAGTTTGGTAAGAATATGAAAATCTAGATCGTTGCTCTTGAGTAGGAAGAGCTGCAGTCCTAACAAAGATCCCGGGGGTACTCTGATTGTATCACTCTAATCTCCAATGAGCATTTAATCTCTGTTTTCTTTGCATTAACCAGTTCTTAATCCAAATATAGTACATGCATTTCTTTAATTGCCTACCACCTGTAGTTTGAGGATTTGAGAATCATAGCTTGTTAATGGGCTATATTTGACTTCAGTCAGCATTAGAGATCTTCCCCATTAAATTAAATTTAAATTTCTCCTGCCTTTGAAGTAAAGCATTACACAAAAACGTACGCACAAATCAGCGTTTGACAAAGACTTTTTTTTGTTATGTCAGACTGAGTGAAACACTTTCACTAAAATAAATGCACACATACTCATCTGTGCATAGTCTAAATAACATACTGTACTACAGTTACTGTACATGCTGTAGGTCTAAATTCTCGATAGATGGTCTCAGTCTTTTCAAGGGTTTTGGGTTCAGTGTTGCTAAGAATGTGAATGTAGCAGCTACTGAGCCTCCTAGTTTCACTGGTTGTAACCAGTCTAGACTAATCACAGCACATTGTCAGTAGAATCATTTTTGGTGTTCTCGCGTCTAACAGTACAGTGATTCTATATGACATATACTGTAATTAAAAATCTTCTTCAGTTTTTAAGAGTTTTCCCCTTCCTTTCCCATTAATGGACTTCTATATATACAGTACTTAAGCAAGTGATATTAAATTAAAGTTCACAATGTGCTGAATTTTAAGTCAAAATTGTTACTGTACAGTTTGTACATCTATAATTATGTATCATGTTTAAACATTAACAAACAAAAGATTTACAGAAATCCACTAAGTCATTTAAAAAAACATTTATCAACTAGGCTTTAAAGCTAAGTACTTGTAAGAATCTGCTGAAGTGGTCTGCATCAATGTGTTATTCTTAACTTCAGGCAAATACTTCATCTCACCATAAAATTCCATAAAAATTGTCCTTGCATGTACATTGCCTGAGGAAACAGGAAGTGCTATCACAATGTTTAGAGACACCTGACGCAGAATAGGAGGTGTCCAGGTATTGAATAAAAAAAAAACAAGAAGCAACCAGCTACTGCCCGAGAAATGTTTTTCATTGGCTGATTGTTCTAGCTCATTTATTACGACAGTACATTTAAAAGATATATAACTGAAACCAGTGTGCACTGTAAATTGAAGAGAAGAAAGTCTAGGGTTCTGTTTCATAGAAGAGCAGAAAGGCAGAAACAATGGAAGGATGGGCAGACAGACATCTATTACAAATTGGTAAGTATATTTGTGTCTGATTTTCCATAGTAAATAATAAAAAGGGGTGAAAATAACAAATTGTATCCCAATAAAGCACATCTGCTGTTTAATTTAGAAACCAAAAATAACCAACAGATTGCTACGATTTTTTCAAATAGATTTTAGGATATTTATTACATTTAATTTAGGGACCAGTATTATAGCACAAGAGTTTATTTTCACAATTTTAAATGGAAATGTAAACCAAAGGAAATAACTATACAGTATATTGTTCTACATGTTTCTACTGTGGTAACCTACAGTAACTACAGCTTTTCTTAAAAAAATATTTCTGTATTCTGTAATCAATCTGAGATTTCCCTAATTACAGCAGGACTGAAATTACTACTGAAACTAAAATGTTGTCAGTCAGTTCTCAGTTTATATTCTGATTTTGGAATTAAGATTAATAAAACTACGAACCTGATTGTTTGGTATTTCTATTGACAAGATATTACCAGCATAATTCCATTTACTAATAGAATCTGATGTTTAACATGTTCAATTATAGAAATAATAGAGAAATAAAGTGTCATTTAGAAGTCAAGTATAATAAGTTAGCTTGCTACATCAATGTTGTCACAATTACAGTATAACACTTAGATTACAAATGTGATTGGGTGGAAGGTGTGTAATATATAAAGAAGAACACTTCATTAATACAGTAAGTTATTGGTAGTCATTCTATTGACAAACATTTAGTGAAATGTTATTGAATTACGATGGTATTACATCTCTGCTAAAAAAACTGCATCATTGCATAATTAAACAACAGTTTCCTTTCTTGGTCTTTTCTTCCTCTTTTTATCTCACAGAGCTCACTCACATAAGACTTATATACAGTATAAGGTGTAATGTTTGAACATGACCTAATATGTGAGGTTTCATCTCTATTTTGATTTGCTCGCCAGTACTTCACAAATATTTTAAATAATTTTAAATCCATTTTTCTTTCCGCTTCAAACACCTGAATTCTCAGTTTCGAGATCAGAGGTAGGCATCTTTCATTGGAAGAACACTTTCTTAAGTAAATTTTGAATTCTGTTCTAGCATGACATTCAGTGCAGAGCAGTAAATTTTACTGTTCTTGAAAAGGAAAAATGGATTAAAATCTGGCAGGTGCTCCATCACCATGAAACGTGTGTGTTACAATTAAACAGAAGCTTGCCAATTAGTTTTGCAACCCTAAAGGTTACACAAGGTCCTGTACGTTTCCAGGGATGACCTTGAGCATACTAAGATACCAAATTAAGAGCAACTCAAAAATGTAATTTCTCTTAAGTTTGAGCTTGATCAGGTTGGGGATGTCCTCTCACTAACAGGTAGAGATTTACATTATGCTGCAGAAAATTGTGCTACCTTTTAATGTAGTGTCAGGCCGAATTATTGGATTAAACCAATAAAATATCTTTCCTGATCATTTAAGTGATCTAACTGTTTTAAAGGTGACAAAGGTGACAAATAGTGCTATAATGAGCACCAGAGTAAGGCAGCTACTGTGAATTAAAAAAACATTTAGTGTACTGAAAATTTGAGACTTTAGGTTTCTTATGGCCTATTTAGAAATAGATATGAAATGGCTTCTACAAACAATATGTAAGAAAAAAATCTAAATAATACCACCTAATATTCCGATCTGTCCTGAAAGAACTGGTTCAGATGTTTTCATTGTGGTTGACTATCACTGCAGGTGGATCCTGTGAATATAACTGCACTATCTTTATAAACCATGAGAACAGGACCCAAAGTGGTTTTAATTACTATGAAAAGTCATTTGTCTTTGATCCTTGTGACCAAGCAATTATTGGTACCAAGCCCTTGCTTTAAGGCATTTTCGAAGACAGATGCTTTGAGAAGCACGTGATACCTTCTAATTATTCTCATGAGAACTTCCTTCATACACATGAATTATTTCTAAAACCATCATATTAGCTTTGTATGTAACACACCTGTAATTTTTAAACACTCCCTTCTCATTTCGACTGAACATAGTTCTCTTCTTCCTGATAAAAAAAAAGTTTATATTAGCATTGTATAGTATGGAAATATAAAGCATTCCTGTATATTTATTCAATTTTTCACAATAAATATAAAAGCCTACTAATTTATGTACTGTATAGTACAAATCTTTACAAATTTATGTAAAAAAGATTTCTACTTCAAATTGTATCACACCATGCTAAGGTATGTCTGTAGTATTTGTCTACAATTTATTTGTCTTGGAATTGGTTTTAGGCCCTAGACTGGATATTCCCATTATTTCAGTAGAAAGTTTCATACAGCACTTTTCAATACATCAGTATAACCAGAATATAAGATTAGAACACAAATTCTCATAGCTTATAACAATTAGTTTGTTTTTGTTGTTGATTAATCTGTTATGGTTTCATACAGTATACTGTATCTTGACAAAAAAAATAATTCCAATATGGGGGAATGTCTATGCTGTTTCCATTTGAAATACTGCACAACCCACATTCACATGCTTTATAAACTAAATGAACTTCTTAAGACTAGTCCGAGGCTTTTGGAAGAAATTTCTCGTTGGATAAATTAATGCTTATACTGTAATTAGGTTTCTAAACATGCATCCAAGTCAATCACAAATTAGATTTCTAACAGGGTTGTGGTGTTTTGGTGTTTAATACAGTACATTTGCTTGCATAATACTTAAGGCATTAGATGTACTTTTATGACAATTATATTTACTGTAAAACACTTGCATTATCATTGATTTTCATGAACCCATTCATGTTCAGTGTATTCGTTAATGGCATTGACACTCATCCTTTTTCACAGCAATATCAGCTTTAACACTAGCAGCTGTCTGCTCTTCGTCCACTTCTATGACTGAGAAATCTTCAGAAAGTATGGAACAGCTCAGTGACATTTCAGAATTCAATTATACCACAGGTATGTTTATGTTTTCATTTACTTGGCTTTTCTCTGTATTATATGATTGGTTCTTTCACAGAACAAATACTATGTTTTGTGAAATGCCACGCAAAAAGGTTTATTTTTTGTGCTAGAGTTAACATAATTTTAATTATTTTAATTTTAACATAAGTTTGGCTATTTGGCTCATGTGGTCCATTGGTATTTCGTTTCCAATTGATGGGAATCACACAGCTCCTTCTTGAAAGAAGACAGAGATATGACAACCAATGAAAAACACAAATCCCATTTTTTTTTGTTACTTGTAGTCAAAGTAGAAAAATATTTTTACTGTGAGAAGAATAACACGAAATGTATCGCACAGAGTGAGGAAAATTAAAAATCAGTTGATCTAATCACTCTTGATCTAAACTATGTGGGTTCCTTAACCACTGAATAATCAACCAGGAGTCTTTATGCATTAGTGATGAATTGTTGAAATATGGAAAAGATTGGGGAGGTCAAATTACAGTTAGTCAAGGTTCTGGCAGTTGGCTTGTCAGGTATATGTGGACTTTCTGTGTTAGTTGTGAGAGCAGATGCAACAGGTAGTGTTTGATTGGAATTCCAAATTAGAAAAGCCAGAGCATCCTTATCCTGGTCATTGGGAATCCTGTATGATTTACAATAGATTTACATCTGTGCTTTTCATTATTCCTGAGATCCCGGCCACTTAAAGTAATTGAACTTTCAGCTGAACTTATTTTGCTTTTAATTTGGCCCTTTTTTGTGTTTAGGTCTTTGACAGCTAAATATCTATAGCAACTTGAAAATGTAAGCTAGTTTTCAGTGGCCTGAAAACTGTTAAGTAGGTCTGGTATAGCTGATAACTGGTGCAATAAAGTAACTGAGAATTCAGCTACAGTGAAAATCAGAAAACAATAAATAGTATTGTCTCTGCCTATATCCCCATTGCAATAGGACAGTAATCTTTTTTATACATACTGTACAGTATGTACTGTTAGGATATTAGTCCATCACTGTTTTACCTGTTTAGGTTTTGCATGCTAGGAGGATACAATGTTTCTCCATGGTACCATTTTTGCATTTTTTCAGATATGACTAAATGGCCATTCAGCAAAATGTAACAGGTTGAATTCATGAGTAATGCATACAGATATCAATTATTAACTTACCTATTTGTGTCTTGGGATCCTGCCCATCTAAACCAGTAACAATGCAGTTTGATCTGGAATACTTTGGCTTAAAAATAGTTTAACCTCAATTGTGACAAGACATGTCAGTGTCATATTCATTTTCCTTTTTTTTGTGAATTTTGTGGTGATGACGAAACAATATAAACATGGTTTGGAAATCGCTGTGTCTGGGCTGTGTCTGTGGTGAAATTGCACTTATGGTTGGTATTACATAAAGCAAAGAAAAATCCATTAGAGATTAGGGAACCAATGATTAAGACAAAAAGAAGTACAGTCACGCCTTTTCGCTCAAGTGATACTAGCACCAAAGATTAAAATGAAGCGTGACACAGTTTAATCTTTGTTTTCAGTGCTTACTCACTAATATGTTTGTCTTGAAAAAGAAAATCATTGAACTTACAGTACATGTGGTAAAAGCCAATTTTCATTTATTGAGTAACACAAAATCTTACCACTTACCTGAATAGTTAGTTATTCAGAAAATAACGAGAATTTTAATTTACCTTTCTTGTCCTGTTACTTTAATCTTTTTTGTCCCTTTAGATGGAAGTACACAAGTGCCTCTTACATTAGAACTTCTAAGTCCTTGTGCAGGCGATGACCAGAGTTTCTGCATGAATGGACTCTGCAGCTATCACAAAGATCTCAATAAACCTACTTGCAGGTAACCATGTGCAAATGTAATAGATTTCTTTGTGTATATATTTATTTGCAAATAAAGTATAATCAATTTAGTTTATTTCCTTTATACTAAACACTAGATGAATTGATAATGATTCCAGATGTTATGTTGTCTTGACAAAATTATTTGTTCTCGCTGCACATGAAGTTGATTAATTTTTGTTCATATTTGTCAAGTAAACCCATTTAGTCATAAATGTTGCACACTTTCCATACATTTTCTATTCTATTCCAGTATCATTGAGATTATATTTTCACCACACATTTTTATTGTTTGCACATAACTTGTGGATTACATATATAAATTTTAACCTATCCCAGTTTCACTCTGGTTAAAATCCCTGTTCTTGTGTTGCTGGAAGACTTTTTTTGTGAACAGTTCCTTATCGACATTTTAGCTCAGATACACATGGTCATTGCAGAATTGTTGTTTTACACAGGAAAACCTGTTTCTATTTTGTATTTGAAGGTGTTACAAAAATTATACTGGTGAAAGGTGTCAGCACCTAGTCTTGGACTCTCATGGCGAAGAAAGTCCTGAAAAGCTCATTGCTCTAGGAGTTGGTGTTTTTCTGCTCTTCTGTGCCATTTTAATTCTCTTCTGCTGCTGTTTAAAGAAAAGGTACAGTATACAAGAAACACCTTATGATGCACAAACCCATAAAGCATCTATCAATCTGTTTTTTTTTAATTGTATTATTTATATTTACTGTAGATGGATATATGTAGATTTAAGACTAACCTTGTATATTTTTTTCAAATTCTGAAGTTTTATTTTAGGTACTGTAGTGTAGTAATACAGTATACACAAATGAGTTAAGTCCAATTAAACCACAAGTCAGTTTATGCTGTAAACTAACTGATACAGATCATCAGAGTCCAGTGTCCCACTAGTTTTCTTCATACAAAGTACTATATAATGTATTTCTCCCTCAAAATAATTATAATAGTTATTAAGTATATGACAGAAATAGAGTTAAAGTGCTATTTGTGAATCCATCCAGCATTGAGACAAAAATCAGAGAAAGAAATCTTTAACTCATCAATCATTACTGCTAGAATACTACGGAATTGTGACCAGCTGTTTTATATAGAAATAAATATGAACTGCACTAAAACCCCTTTATCTGATTATAGGAGGATATTATTATTGTATTAATCAAATTGGATGAAAGACACAAGGACCACAGATGTCAATAAAGACAAATACATAGTCAGTGAAAAAAATAGATGATAAAGCAAAACTAAATGAGTCATCTCATTCATTCATTAAAATGATTTTTTGTTTGAAAGTATTATTTTAATCAAGAAGCTACTATACAAGACCTTGTTTCTGTATTATTTCTGAAGATTCCAAATCAGATACCTGAAATAAGGTGTCTGACCTTCATAAAAAAATTGAATGATATTTAAATATGGGACTGGTGGTCCTGTACAGTATGTGGTTTAAACAATGTTCTTAACGGTATCTTACAGTGTCACTGTGCTTCTTTTCAGATGTGTGAAACAGAAGTCTACGTATAAGATATGCCCACCAGAAAACACAGTCTGAAGGTTTAAAGTGAACATGGGAAAAACACTACTGGTTGTAATAGCAAACTTTAAGTTGCTGCTCACCCAGACAGTTATAGTAAGAGAGACCAAATGATTTCAAATGCATCCCATAGTAAAGCTTTCACTTTATGAATGATAGCTCATTGTGAAAATTTTTCAATATGCTTTGTCTTGAATTCTGTAGCTGCAAATAAGACACTTAAACAGTTACCGAACACAATTGCAGACTACATAATAAAATAACATCTCAGTGAAATTAGCAGATGAAAGATGGACTCAAAGTAAAATAAATCTGTAACACCTTAGCAGTGATTACCGAAGTGAATAATCCTTGACAACATAACTTGTTACAGATGCCAATTAAATCATTCAATGGATTATTCACAAAATATATTCATAAGAACATAAGAATGGTCACATAAGAGACAAGGCTGTTCAGCTCATGTTGACCATTGGTTTGTTGGTAGTTGACTGATGCATGGATTTCATCCAACTGTTTCTTGAAAGAAACTACTGTACAACATGGCTGAGTAGCTTGTGTCATATGACCACAAGTCAAATAACAACTGTTATAAAGCAGATTATATTGGTATGAAGACCACATTTTATTGGTATGACCGGCTAAACTTCTTGGTTTTGAGGGACAGCTGTATGGCCATTAGGATAAGGAAATCTGAACTTCCTATGATAAACCAAAGGATTACTGTATTAGAGGTGCCTTAGGGAATGGTGCAAGGGTGTTAGTGTGCCAAATGTTATGGGCTAATGGACTAAATGTTTAGGTTTATACCCTAGAAAGCTGGGGAGTGACAGGAATTAGGATTTGTCATTCTCTCAATCTTTTGTTATAAACTAAATTAAGAAGCTGGTGCACTTTAATATTTTCAGAAAACACAAGCAACATTTCAATATTCTTTGAGACCCAAGACAGAAGGCAAGGGTTTATGTTCACTAAAATCATCATCAGTGCCTTGATGAACAGTATAGTGTTAGTACAGAATAGTATGTATCCCAATAAGAGGTCATTCTATAAAATGATACTGTACTGTAACCAATTCTATAAAATTATAAACTGTACTGTAACTATTATTCGATGTGTTCTTTAAAAAAGACCCAAGTAAATGCTAACCAATATTCTATGTATGAACAATGATGTTCTTATGTTCTACTCAAGGTTAGAATGATTAGAAAAAGTTATTTCATGACATTTTGATCTGAAGCCAATCCTTTTTTTCTGAAGCACTTCTATCCAAAAAAAAAAAAACAAGAAAAATATAACTTGTTAGAAAACAAACTTTGTTTGTGTACACCTAAACAAATGTAGAGAGGTTTAATACCCGAGAATAGTGATTCCTGCTCTTAGGTGTTCACATTCATAATGTTGACTGACAGTAAAATATATTTATTTTTTTTTGCTGGGAAAAAGATTTTTGCAATGTATTGAAACCATTATTTTAAAAATCATTTAAGCCCTGTGTACAACACGAAAGCTCCCTTTTCTTCCAGTCAGCAATGTGCACACTTCAGATCAACTTTCTCTAAAACAGTGTGATTAAATATTTATTTAAGTTATTAATGAAAACATTCTGTATGTTTTATGTGCATGATGGTTTTCTAATAAATCCTAGAATAACTTTAACCAAACTAAACTGGGGTCTCATTTGTGTTGTCTTTGTGTCTTCATTACCTTATGTGACTCTCTGAGGGGTGCAGCAGTTCCCAATGCTGTCCCTTCTGGCTTTTTGTCCTTCCTGAGTTCTTAATCACAAGCTAATCAATTTCAGTCTTTTTGTTTGCATATTTAAAAAAAAATTGCTTTCAACTCTTAAAACATATAAGAGTTTTGTAACTCTTATCAACCTAGTGCTACTTTCTAAATTGCAGAACTCCTCTTATTTAGGTACATTGAAATGTACTGTAAATGTAGAAGGAAAAAGTGGTCATTGACAGAGGGTCTGATACATTTTATCTTTGTAGATAAAGCCCAATTCTAGATATATCAATTTGCATAATAGACAAAAGCTGTTAAAAGATCATTAAATACATACATACATCATATGTTTCTATTTGATTCTGCCTATATCTAACTTGTAAATACTATAACTTTTTACCCTCTAATGTTTATACTGTAGCAAACATTCTAAAACCTTCACTACAAAGCTGAAGTTCATGATCTTTTTTTCCATATGATTATAACTACAGTATGTTTTATTAGGAGACATGTGAGTGTGAGACAAGATGATTAAACAGGCTACAGTATATCTTGAAAGAGTTGATCTCAGGTGAAATGCAGGGACAAGAATGTTTGCCTCATTGTGCAGACATCCGTATGTCATACAGTATGTTTGTTGATGCATTCCTAAGAAACAACATGCTCTCCTAGTACCTTAATATAGACTTGACATTCAATAGTTGGAATTCTTAGAACACTTATTGAAATCACATTGTTTATGACGGCATTTACAATCAGGTGCCTTCGTCACTGTGTATATTTTATAATGGATGCTGAGCCCAGAAGGTTTAAAGACCTGTATAAAGGTGTATTCTTGTTTTTGGTCCTCCTGTCCTCTTTGTGTTTGTGAGTTTGTCAGTTTGTGGCATGGCCATGAGCCCAAGTGTCACCACCCCAAGATAAGAGGGTAAGTAGAAGTGAGTTTCCCATGTTCAAGGTGTCCAGAGTAAAGGACTGGTGTTGCATTGTGTACACTTGCTTGGGTAAAACTGTTGTCTGCTATTTCAGCCCTCAGCGAGCTAGGCTTTCTTTTGATTTTCTAATTACTTAATGTTGCTAAAACATACAGTACATTTACTGCTTTTTCAGTGAGTGGGTCTGATCATCATTCACTCTAGGACTCACATTTGGCAGTGACATATGTATATCAGTAGTTCTGTTAGATCCTAATGAATGTGATAGAGAGATGAAGAGTATTTGGCATGACTTGCTTAGCTGAGGGAATGGCAGGCTCATCAGGGCATGAGAATAGGCCCAAAACACCCTCACTGTTGAGAGGATTGAGCTAGGGAGTGGCTGCAGGGGTGTAGATGGGGTGGCAGGAGGAATGAGCAAAAGATCTCATTGTAGTGTAATGCCAGTTTTAGGCACTTTTGAAATACAATGAAAATATATCAATAATAAGCTCATTACTGTATATTCATTGAGTATCACTGCATAACACATTTTATGTGTTAATAACACATTTTAATTTTACCTTCTCCCCCAAAGTGGAGCTAGTGGTTCCTAATGGCTGTGTCTCATCTAGGTGGGTGCTAGACTTTAGTGATGAATGAAGTGCATGCTCTCCTATAAACCTTTGAGCTAATAACATGCAAATAATTTATTACTCCCATAAGTGATATGGTACTTCCATTCCATGTGTTACGACCGTTGTACTTTATGTTGTTGTAGTACATTTTTAGTCTTTGTTTTAGGATAAAATTGATATTGCAACAATGTTTATCAGGATAGTCCCATATGATTGAGTCTTATGGGACTACCCCATAATATAGTACCTGAGAGCTGTGAGGTGGCAGCACTACTGCTAAATGCTATGATAGAAATATACCGTATAGTTTTCTCTGGAGGCATCAGGGAAAATATTCTCTTCTTTATTAGCCTTTTCTTCTTAATTCCTTAAGCATGATATAAGAGGGTACAACATTTTCAAATATGTTGAAATACTATAACCAAAATTAGCATTTGCTTCACGGGTGTATGTTTCTACTGGATGCACTCTGGGAATGAGTCACTAACTGGTATGTTGTTTTCCCCGTGATATCACTACTTATGTTGAGCATGTGTCTTACATGTTTAACTGTCTTTCATGTTGTTTTTTGTTTTATTAAATATAACTCTGGAAACACATCTGTGGTTTTGGTTTTGCCATACTGTACCTAATCTACTTTTCCAAGTGGTGAATAATTTGACAACCACCAAAACAAAATGCTGTAAACATGTTATCCAGTAGCACGCACCTTTATTCATTACTTTAAGAACTTAAATGTAGGCTGTTGTTTTTTCACGTTTCACTTGCTTTGGTGCTTTGGTACCTAGGGGACACTACATTTTTAAACTTTCTCTGAAAATATTCTTACCCTTTGACAGGAATGCTTGGTTGATTTTTGTCAAATATATCCTAAATCAAAAACTAATTTTGTGTTAAAAGACAATGTTTAATATTTTTCAAACAATTTTTATTGGTTTTAACAAAAAATAATATGTACTCTACAACAAGACAAATTATTTCTTCATGTACTCGTTTTGGTACTGTCTTCATGAGTAATATGAGATGCAGACCGAATACTTTTTTTCATGGCTGTGTGGGCCCTTCTCTCAGGGTGAACATATGAAGTGATTTGGTAGTTCCATTTACTGAATTGTTTTTTGTATTCAAGACTTTTGGGTCTTATCATGGCTGAAATGGCAATGTCACAAAATATACCATAAGGGCCCCAAACTGTTGCCATTTTGATTTTGATTTTCATTGATGTTCAAGGGAGAGCAGAGTAAGGTGGTCACACAGGTGTGTGTTTAAATAAAAAATGACAGTCACATGTTGTTAAATATTGAATTTGTTATTTTACAACTGTAAGAAGAGTGTGCATGATCCTTTCCTCTGGAAAAAGTGTCAAATAGTCTATGTGATGACTAAGATCTTAAACTTTTCCAGTTTGTCTGTTTTCTTACAAAACAACAAGAAGATAATTAATTATCACTAACTTAGTAATTCATTACATCATGTGCCACATTTAATAATTTTATCAATAAACATAGTGCTTTAAATAGGCTCCTGTACTTAATTAATTTCCACCCATACTGGATTGTTTTCAGCTTTTCCCTGAATTGTAATTGTTAAAACAATTAAAGGTACATGTATAACAGAAACTGGCATACATAAGGTGTGTAAAAAGAGTTTTTTTTTCAGTTAAACATCAAGAATTTGTACTTGAATCTTAATATTAAACCAGAATGAAAGCTTATATAATTAGTTCTTTCTTTGTTTTAGGATCTCAATTCACGTAAAAGTAATGTACAGTTGTGAGAAAACATTTGTGAACCCTTTGGAATTATCTGGATTTCTGCATGAATGGCTTCTAAAATGTGATCTGATTTTTACCGAAGTCATAATAAGAGATAAAGACAGTCTTACTTAACAAACAACACACACAACATTTTACATTGTCATATCTTTATGGAACAAAGGATTAAACAATCAAGGTTATTGATGGAAAAAGTATATGTACCCTTCTATTTAGTAACTATTGGAACCTCATTTATTGGCAATAACCTCAACCAAACTCTTTCTGTAGCTGCTGATCAGACCTGCCGAACGGTTTGGAGGTATTTTGGCCCATTCCTCTATACAAAACTGTTTCAGGTCATGTATATTTTTGGGATGTCATGCTTGAACGGCCTGCTTCAGATCACGCCACACCATTTCAATGGGATTGAGGTCAGGACTCTGACTTGGCCATTGTAAAATACGGAAGTTCTTCTCTTTGATCCACTCCTCGTTGATTTACTCCTGTGTTTTGGATCATTGTCATGTTGAATAACCCAACTTCTTCTGAGTTTTAGTTCATAGACAGACACCCTGACATTCTGCTGTAGGATTTCCTGATACAACTTGGAATTCATTGGTGCCTCAATGATTGCAAGCTGTCCAGGCCCTGAGGCAGCAAAGCAGCCCCACACCATTATACTCACGCTTCACAGTTGGGATTAGATTTTGGTGTTGGTATACAGTTTTGTTTTCTCCATCTTTTCAAGATGTCGTTATCCTAGAGGTTCACATACTTTTTCCATCAATGACCTTGATTGTTTAAACCATTTGTTCAATAAAGATATGACAGTGTAAAATGTTGTGTGTGTTGTTTGTTAAACAAGACTGCATTTATTATTATGACTTAGATGAAGATCAGATCACATTTTAGTAGCCATTCATGCAGAAATCCAGATAATTCCAAAGGGTTCACAAACATTTTCTCACAACCGTAGTTTGCCAATACAAAGGAACAGTGTTTTAAAAACATTTCCCATATGCCTTCAATAAAATGTAATTCTATATTTTAATTTCAAAAGTCTATGAAAAGAAGTCCCTATTGCACCCAGATACGTAATTGTTGATTAAATGAATACAAATACAAATATATTTGTTTTACCCAACTTTAATATTATAGATTGCCAACCACGATATCACCACAATTGCAGTATACAGCAGTTCGATGTAGCTGAACATGTATATTGTACACTTCATAAGATAGCAA